CTGTATGTGGGATCCGAACCCTCGGCGGGAGCACCGCCGTGCTCCCAAGCGGCGCACTGTAGCAGTGCGCCACTGGGCTGGCCCTAGAATAACTGGTTTAAGAAACTTATTTCATGATAATTTCTTATGCTCTCTGCCTTTGAAACCCTGTCACTTTGGTTTTACTTTTTGTAATAATTTGTGATTTTATTCAACTAACTGTTTTAAGCCTTTTGTTATTTGACAAAACTTTTCAAAACTGAAAGCTCAACCTTTTGGTTTAAACTAACTTTGAGGAGTTCCAAGGGCCCTGGAGCTTCTCAAAGGATATATAAAAAATGTATCAAAACTAATTGGCTTATTTAATAAATTAGACTATATGGGAAAGTATTATCAGTACTTAAGGTGTTATGGATATGTGCTCCAAAATCTTGTAAGGTTCTTAAATATCTGTGTCTTGATATAAATGCTATCAGTCATAATCTTGGTTTAATTTAATTTTAAAATGTTATGTCTTCAAATATTTCATGAAAAAACTCTAATATGTACAGTTTCCTGATAAACTTTAAAGATCCAAAATTCTAATGAAGAAACTGATGGGTTTGTGAAATTGTTCACAATGGTCAAAACAACAAAAGTTAATTAGTGAGCTGATTAAAAAGAATTATGGGTTTTTACAATTTCCTTATTTTGCAACACTGCTGGTTCTCTTAACGTTTTGTTTTCCAAATTAAAAAAAAACTCTCTCTCTCTTATGCTATCTATAACTAACAACAGTTTGGTAAAATATCATTTAAAACAGAGATAAATGTATTTGTTTTCTCCCTATTTGATCCCCCCCGAATTTAATAACTTTAAGTATCCTTATGATTATTATGGCAATGTGGCTATTTTTATAAATTCAATGAAATTTAACTCTGTCTTCATAACAGGATATAATTTAAAACTTTGGATATAAGATAGCATGTCTCACTTCTAAGTTGCTGACCCCTTTTTCATGTTGCCTTAATTTGGCCTTACTGCTGCTTCATCCTGCTGTTCATCTTTCCCCCCAACGTGGGACAGATCACCACCTGGTAAAAGGCCTTTCCAGCAGAGTAGGATTTATACAAAGAAAAGTATGACCTTTACAATCAAGATATTGATCATCAATGCTTTTATGTGATTATGAGGAATGCCTTGATCATAAAGGGAGAAATAACATCTTCTCTACAACGGCAATTCTCTAAATATTCCTGGCCTTAAAGAAGGTGCTTGTAACTTAGATGAGATATCCTGTTCCTAAACAAAAGACTTGCAATTGATCAGAAATTTTACAAAAGACTAGATGCTTTAAAAACAGTAATGTCCTGAACAGGTGAACATTAACAAACTCTCTGGACTCAGGATCAACTATTATACAGAGCGGAATCCCATTCTAGAGTTTCAACAATTGGTAATTACACCCAATTCACAGCACCTGGAATGACGCAAATGCAGCCAGTCTGAGACGATGACATCATCAGTCCTCACCTGAAGTAAATTAAAAGGACTTGCCATGCTAAATGATACCAACTTTGCTTTAAATGCTTTTGTCTTAACTGTGAAAACCTGATCTATAGCTTTTGCGTTTTCTTTTAAATAAATAAAATGGAGGGAGATGTGGAGTATGCATAAAGCAAATGTACTTCACAAGGCCTGGTTTTCCAAAGCCTTGCAGTTTCAAATATTGACCTTGCAAAGGACAGGAAATTTTCCCCAGGCTATAGTCTCTGTTGTAAGATGAAGAATTGTAACACAGCAAGGTTGCTGGCTCAAAGACAGACAGGTTACTGACTGATATGTAAAGATACTGAAAAATTGCTTTAAGAGGAGAATGTTGGCTAAAATCAAGCTTTTGTTAGTGGATCAACTTAATTGCATCATACAAGGTCATCTTGCTTGTCTTACTGAATGTTACCAGCTTCTATTGTTAAACTTGTTAAACTATACTTAGAAAAAACCCCACCTGTGTTCTCTCCCTGTAACTTCCTGGTCTGGAGAATAAATGTGGGAAAAGAACCCCAATTCAGGGTTAATTTCCCAAATGGAAGGAATGCCTCCCTCTTGAGGGTTCTGGGAGATTAACTCCTTTTCAGGGCTTCTCACTGCTTGGAAGAGATGGGCTTTGAGTAATCTTTGGTGGCTCTGTCACCCAGGGGAAAAGGGGTGACAAATCTGTGGGAGGCAAAGCAACATCCTGGCAAGACGTTGGACTTGCCAGCCTCTGAAACTGTAAGGAATAAAATTTCATTTTCTTATAAATCACCCAGTTCCGGGTATTTTGTTATAAGCAATAGACACAGACTAATTACAAGTCTCAAGACGGCAGGGGTGCAAGGCTTTGTACCCCACTGTGTCCTCAGCATAAATGAAGCCTGACCCATAATAGACTCTCAGTAAATACCTGTTGAGTGAATCGATTCAATTCCAGAGCTTGTTTAGTTCCCATGAAGGGAGGGACCCAACAGAGGATGTCTGGAGAAAAGGAGCTGCTGCAGGTCCCTTGGCACTGCTGCCAGGCACCTGCTCTGAAGGCTCACTGCAGGATAAGTTGGACAACTCCAGCTTCAAACTCACTTTTGAGCAACCCCTGGCAGCTGAAAGCTTTCATCTACAGGCATGGCAATGGTTCTTATGGCACCAGCTTCCTTTTCCCACTCCTGATGCCACAGGAACCACTGTTCCAAATGGCAGTTCTGTATTCATCACATTAACCACAACAAGTTACAAGTACAGCCAAACTTTTCTTTTTCCCTCAACTCTCTGTGGATGGAGGAAGCTGCTGAATGAAGCAGGAACACTAGAGTGGGGTCCAAAATATTGTCAGAGCTAAGACTGTCAGAAATTTCCTCATAATGTAAGGACATGTGTGTACCAACTAGTGGCTTCCAGGCCAGCTAGTTTTTAAAAACTACTAGTGGTTTCAGGCAGGGAGTAGGCTTTCCAGAGGTCCTCAGTTCCACCACTGCCCATTGTGCCCTGCCAGGAGGCTTCACCCAGTATGGCCCGTGCTGAAAGCACAGCTGGCTGGCAGACACAGTCCATCACCTCATATTCAGAGAAGCCCACCTCATCGCCCACCTCTCTCTTTCCACTCTGTACCCGGTCTCCCCAGAGCAGCCTCTTCTCAAGGTGTGGTCCATGAACCATTCAATCCAAATCACCTGGGTGCCTATTAACAGCACAGCTTTCTAGGCCTACCCCAGAGGAAAGGTCTAGTGTATCTCGGGGGTGGGCCTGGGATCTGCATTTGCACCAATTTTTTATTCACACTGAATTTTGGAAATCGCTTTTATAAAAGCATTAAAGTCTGGATGATATAAGTCTTGCATACTTATTAAAGTGATAAAAATAGCTAGGCATGTTTGAAAATCAAGACACACTTCAATTTCATTTATTTTACCATTTAACTTAAATCTAGAATACAGGTATTAACTTCATAGACACTTAACCTTAAAAACGGCCACTTGCTATTTTACATACAAAAGATTCAAAACAAAGTTCTTAATTTAGAGTGACATCAGCTTCGCAGTCCAGCGCAAAGTAAAGGCAGGGAGGCAAGCTGAGGGCAGCAGAGACCTCGGCCATCTACTCTGAAACCTCCGCACTCCTCAGCCCAGCCCTCCAGGCACAGTCACTGTATTTGGGCTTTTTTTATCTTTCTCAAAATTTTTCCCAAGATTTGTTTCTACGGGTTGAAATCCACTTTAGGACTAACTATTCTTTTTAAAAAGAATGAAATGAACAGGATTTGCCTCTGCTCAGAACATGAGGAGCAGTGAATCCACGTTTTCTTTGTTGGCCTCGGGACTCAGCTGGATCAGAGGAGAGCCCAAGTCTATGAGCTGGAAGAGAGCAGAGAGGAGATGGTGAACACAGGCCACGCAGCACGCTGCTCCAGTGCCAGAGATGCGGCTGCTGGGAGCCATATCTTCCTGTGGCTCAGCGCCATGAAAACAACTCGATAAACCTGGTTCAGATACATTGAAAAGAAGTCGGCAGGAAAAAGGATATGTGCTCTGCGCCCCCCGCCCCATGCTCCCTCACAACACATTAGCACGGGGCACTGGGAAGGTGCAGACTCAATCCTGCCCTCCATGAGCTCATGGGGTCCCGGGCATTATGCCTCTGCAGCAGTGGGTGATCTTTGAGAAGCTCAGGCCACCAGAGGTGAATCATGCACTGAGACAAGTAGCCCTTAGAAGCCTCAGTGGCCACTCTCAAAAGTCACTTTGAGGGCCGAGCCCGTGGCGCACTCAGGAGAGTGCGGTGCTGGGAACGTAGCAGCGCTCCCGCCACGGGTTCGGATCCTATATAGGGATGACCGGTGCGCTCACAGCGCTCACTGGCTGAGCGCGGTGCGGCCGGTCTCAAAAAGGACACACACACAAAAAAAAGTCACTTTGATGTGGAACAACCCAAAACCAAGAACACCCAGGCTGGAATCAGTACAAACGACCCCCCACTTCTTACCTGTCCCACTACCTGGAAAGGTTTTGATGCAGTGTTTTTATTCATGTCTGGAGTGTTTATCATGAGGTCGATCAAAGGACTGCTCTCAGAGCCCAAAGCTGCACTTGCTTCAGGGGTACTACAGAAGTCGATGAGAGGGAGGTCTACGAGGGGTTTGCTTTCAGATTCTGGAATGATGGTAAGCTGATCCATCTTGATATCTATAAGAAGAGCCTAGATAAAAACACAAGATTGAAAGGAGATTCTGGTGTCTTTTTGTCAACAACCTGGCAAAACGTACACTTTGCTCATGTCTAGGTGCACTAACAGTTGGGAAACCCAAGGAGGGAGGGCTGGAACAGGCCCTTGGTGGGAGGAAGCTCTGTCTGTGGTGTGCAGTTACCGACCGAGCCCTCTCCTCTATGGTTGCTGACCCCTCCCCATCCATACCCCTCCTACCAACAGCCAACACAGAGCTCCTGCCCCTGCTTCCACCTTCCTGTCCTTTGACCCGTGACCCTCTCCTTTGCCAAATACAGAGGCCTCTAGAGGCCCAGAAGTCCAGACTGCCTCTCCTTGGGTCTGCTGGAACTAGAGGCCCTGGGGCAGCAGGATGAAGTACGTGGGGACCTCTGCAGCCACGGTCCTCAGGTTACTCCGCAGCTTCCAGAGCAGCCTCCAGTAATCTTGGATAACATGAGTAAAGAACGAGGTCTGTTTCTGCATACTTCTCCAGGGGGTGTCTCTTCCCTTGGAACTGCCCCACCCAGAGCTGCTTCTGGGGCGATGCTCTTTGAACAAGTGATATCACTCTTTTCTGGAGAAAATTTCAGCGCCTGCGGCACAGCGGATGGAGGAGAAAAGCTTCCGTCTGGTGACAAGTCGGCCTGTCTGGAATCAACCTTTCTATTGCTCTCCCTTGTTGGTTCAGTTCTGCGGGAGGAGAGAAAATCTTGTAAGTAAATTTCTCTAACGTGCATTCATTTGGGAAGCAGGTCATTTTTGGAGAAGTGTCCCATGGTGGAGAGTGTCCCAGCTCTGCTGCCAGCTTGTCAGCGATAGCCACCTCACCATGAGGACCTCACCTTTCACGTACAAAAGGAGGACTGAGTGCCTTCTGCAGTTCCTTTCAGCTCAAAAATTTTATCTGATAACAACACATGCCTATTTTATCCCTTTCCTTTAAAGTTATTAAATAAGAGAAAAGGAGCTTGTGCATTATTACATGCAAAGGAGCGATGACCACGTGCAGGAGTCCCCCTCCACGTGCTGAGGTGAGGCACATGGCCTGCCCCACCTGCTGTGAGCACCCGGGCAGGTCTGGGTCCCTGGTGGCGAAAGTTATTAAATAAGAGAAAAGGAGCTTGTGCATTATTACATGCAAAGGAGCGATGACCACATGCAGGAGTCCCCCTCCACGTGCTGAGGTGAGGCACATGGCCTGCCCCACCTGCTGTGAGCACCCGGGCAGGTCTGGGTCCCTGGTGGCGCGCTTGTGTGGCGCCAGCCTTCCGCTCCATAGCACGCCTCACAGGAGCAGACGCTCCCTTCCTGTCTGTGCTTCCCAGGCTTCAAGTCAAGGAAGCTGGGGACAATACTATATTCTACTTAGGGGATAGCTCGAGTAACACTTCGTGTGCCGGGGCTCATTCTCAGCTGTGGGGACAGCAAACACAGAAGGTCCTGACTGAAGGTCCCAGCTCTCAGAGAGCGTCCCTGCTAGGTGAGGAGGCAGAAGTGGTCAAGCAGACAGACCCACACACCACGTTCAGGTGGTGACGAGGTGAAAACTGTTCTGAAAAAGCAGCACTGGGGAAAGGAGGCCAGGGATAGGGTGGGGGCGGGGCTACTCTACATAGGGTTTTCCAGAAAGGTCTCTGAGGTTGGTCGCTGGACCTGAGTTCAATTACAAGGAGGAGGCAGCTCACCCAGGACTGGGGGGTGGCCCGTTCCAGCAGGGAGGTCAGCAAAGACAGGCGTGTGGGTGAAACGATGGGAGGCAATGAGAACAGGAGATGAGGCAGGACGGGGAGGTGGGAAACTCAAGTGTCGTCACCCCTGACGGAGACCCCAGAAGGCAAGGTTGAGGGACGCTCCCAGGTCCCAGCTGCAAGAACAGCACGTGATCCAAGAGCCTGTGATAGAAACACATCCTACCGTGCAGCTTTGACCACAGGGCGGCCCTCATCTAAGCAGATGGTATAACCAGGGCATGGCCCTCTCCAGTTTGCCCGGCCTGCCAGCCTAAAGCAGGATTTGATGTTAGGTGGGAAACATTACAAGGGACGAGCGGTGCCTCCCTTTCAGTGAACCACCGACAGGAGAGCGCAGGCAAGCGCCTGTCCTGCTGCTGAGCAGGGCTGATCAACATTGCTTTCTGACAACTGACCATGCAGCCTGTCCAGCACAGGGGTATTTTTGAAGCTGTATGAATTGGAGACAAACCCACTGCAACCTTTATCTCTTACCTCACTACAGATTTTTTCCGGGGCTCAGAAGAAAGTCGCCGAGCGGGCACACACAGGGAAGAGGCCACAACCCTGGGCATGGTTTTGGGGGTCATCAGTGGAAAGTTGGAGAGGCGCCGGCTGGCAGGCGTGAGCAAGGCCGAGGCACATTTCCCACTCATGGGGGTCCTCAGGCTGCCTGACAGGCTTTGCAAAGCTGGCCCTGATGACCGTCTCACAGGAGTGCCACAGACAGTGGCCCTGGCAAAGACAAAATCAGAATGTTAGGCAGACATGACCTAAAAGAACCAAATCTAGTTACTCAGCCAATGTGCTGCTGCAGCATTAAGTACTATATACTTCAACAAAAAGGTTCCAGCCAGCGAAGCCTGTGTGAGCCCTGCCCTCTGAGAGGGCGGCTCCCATGTGGCAGGACTCGGAGCAGCTGTCCCCCCACCAATGTTCCACGGCGGGTTCACCTCAGGCTCCTCAGGGGGAGATACACTTCACGGGAGGTTCAGGAGAGATTTAAAAAATCATCTTTTGATGGAATTGTTAACATTTCCACAAGGAAGTCAGACCCACGTCAGAGTCTGCTGGGCAAGCGAATGGACCATGCCAGTCCAGGCCGAGATTGCTGCATGACACCGTGCAGAAGTCTCAGAAATCTAAAGTCTGTAGTAGATATAAAAGTAGCTGGCACACCTCAGGAGTTCAGTCTGCACCAAAGAGACTGACACTAAGGCCAGATACGCCTGAGGAGGCACGCGAAGCCAGCCGAGCATCAGTTCCTCCCCCTCCTACAGGAACGTAAAAAGAAAGGAAGCAGACTGATGTCCATTACCTCCCAACTGATGTGCACGACTGTGGCCTTTGTGCCCTGGAGAACTTTGGTGTTGCAGTGTCTGGGGATTCCCCTAGGATCAAGAGAGGAAGTATGCACAATCAATCAAGAGGGATCAAGTGGGAAATCCATCGTTTGGAGATCTTCACCAAATGGGCAATTCTCCCCTACATGTCTCCACTTTCCCAACTTGCAGAGCAGATGGCATTAGAAAGCACAGACAGAGTGTGAGAGGACACCTACCCCCGATGTGGGGACCCCATGGAGGCAGAAAAGAGAGCCCCTTCGACTCCTCTGTTCTCACCCTGCTTATCCCCAACCAGGAACAGAGCCCAACTTTTCAGAAGGCTCACTCTGAGTAAAGTCTACTGTCAGCTACTGAACCTGCTGTACACCTGCCCACAGAAATGACACTGAACATGGTCAGATTCCCAGGCAAGCCCAACAAAGCCCATAAATGACTTAATTTTCCCGAACCATGACATTACCAGGATAATGATACATTACATCACCTAAGTGCTGCTTTGTAGTTGACAAAGCAGTTCTACAGGTGTGATCTCATCTGATCTTCACAAGCAGAGGGCAAAGGATTCACCAGTCACTGAGCCAAGGCCCAACACAGGCCCCAGATGTCCAGCCTCACCACTGTCCCCACAACAATGCTGGCTCTGCATGAACCAGCTCACCAAGAAGCTTGTCCCAATATGAGCTTAAGTATCAGCCACATGTACCCTGGGGCCCCCAAAGCCTCAGGCACTAGGACCCACATGCAACATCTTGTTATGTCTTGGGAGCCACAGGCAAAGTGGCTATCCCCAGAGCACCTTATCCCAGCCACTGAAGGGAAAGGGTGGGGCCTGGACATGAGACCCCTTCTCAGCAGGTGCTCCCAGGATGCCAGGTGAGGGTCCCACCATTGCTCCTGCAGGTCTCCCCTCTCTCTGGCAACGGACCAGCTGCTTGGCTGGATTCCTCCCCTCTTAAACAAATCAATACTTGCCCCTTCTACACTCCCACAAGCTCCTGTCCCATGTCCCTGCACCTCTTCAAAGCCAACTCTTCTCAAAAGAGCTGCCTGCATTGCTCATCTCCAGCTTGCATTCTTTCTAAAATGATCTCTATCAAAGTGATTCACACAGTTTTTTGTTTTTTGTTTTTCTTAAAAAGATGACCAGTAAAGGGATCTTAACCTTTGACTTGCTGTTGTCAGCACCACGCTCTCCCAAGTGAGCTAACTGGCCGGCCCCACACACACACAGTTTTAAAAATTGAAGGCAGAAATCTTATGGGATCAAACAAGTCTCCTGCCACACCCACTCCTACCTCCAACTTGTTCTGTTATTTCTTATGGTTTTTACCTGCATATTTCTAAATCACATACTTATACTGCCACATCATTTTTCAAAAACTTTCCATGTTACAAGAGGTGAGAACCTGGCTCGCTTGTCCCCCACCCGCCCGCCCCCTGCAGTCCCCTGGCCTCAGCATCCAGGACTGCAGATCCCCACAGCTGAGTCCACAGTGCTCCCACCCTTTCCCCAACCTCCGTGGGGTTTTTTTTGGCGGAGGGGTCCTGTGACTAAGTCATCCTGTACCCTCCGCCTTTGGGCAGCTACACCTCTGGGGTCACTGATCCCTGCGTGTTCATGGAGGTCTCTTTCTGAAACTCGGAGAGTGGGTGGGCGGGCCCTCCCTCTCGTGCCTCCTGTGCTGCCTTCCCTCTGTCATGCGCCCTTCTTCCTTTTCATTGTCTCCCCTTGTCTTACATTCTTCAGCAGTTTCCAAAGGTGCACGGGAAGGACATTATTTTTAAGAAATTTTACAGGTATGAATATCTCGATTATACCCTCACCACTGAGTACAGAACCACACGCTGAAAACTATTTCCTTCCTGGAGGTTGAAAATGCTGCTCCACTGTAGCTTCTAATGCTGCAGAGGCCAAGTGCAGAGCCGTTCTGAGTCTCAATCCTTTGTGTGGCCCCAGGCAGCAAAGATCCACAACTAATAACATTATCTGTCACTGACTATTTTATAAATAATGCTGTTTGTCTCTGGGATATTTTAAGGAAGTGTATATATGGCAGGCTCTGTCACAGGACACCGTTCACACTGTCCCATGCTTCGAGTGCCTTCAGCCACTTTTCCACAGTGAAAGCTAGAGTCACAGCCAGCAAGCAGCTGCACAGCACATGACTGGCGCTCTTAGCCAGACACAAGCCTGCCACTATGCATCCGAGGTTCCTAACCGTGTGGCCACTCCCCTGCGGCCTCTTTCAGCCCGTACTGAGTTTGTGGGAAGAGCTCTGACCCACGAGGAACAATAGAAGGCAGGCCCTGTCCCTGATGCTGCCAAGAAGGGAGGAACAGCCTGCTGAAGGCAAGATGCAGATCTGAGGGGCCTGAGGAGCCATCAAGGACAGTCTTGGAGAGGAAAAGCCAGCAGGCAGCCAGGAGGACTGACCCTCCACCACTGCACAAACGTAGTTAGAAGGCCTGTGGCCAGGGCGTGGCCTGGCTCCAGCATGTGGAAGCAGCAGCAAACACTCCTGGACTGAGGTGCCCTGAGCCCAACCCAGCAGAGCTCCCATGGCCACCACCAACTCTGCCCTCTGCTGTTGAAACCTAAGTTTGTCACTTCTCTAAGCTCAGCTACCTGCTGGGCCCCTCCAACTGCAGCCCAGGAAGCATCTCACTGACCCCACGTCTGTAGTGAGTTAGAAATCTTGATTCTCCTTTGATCTTAGAATAGGATTTTTAGGTAATGCATGAATGAGCCAAACGGCTCTTGAGTAGGGGACAACAGTCCACAGATAAGGTTGGCAAAAGCCATCTAATCAATTCTAATCACTGTTTAGGGATGTGATTGTGTACTTTGTTTTAGGTTGCTGGTTTGATTCTGGCTTGAATGACTATTGACTATCTAACCTACTGATTGTTCATAAGATAAGTTAAGGAAACTGCTTGAACGCTGTTTAAATATGCTAAGGAAACTGCTATAGGAAGTATGTAGAAAAGAAAATGTTTACTAAGGACAAGCTGTTTGCTCGTGAATTAACCTAGCTTTTTACAAATTACATTCTGGAATGTCACATTGTTAATTTACTGCTGTTACAAGTTTTACACTTCCTGTTTTTACGTCCTTCTTTGATGATTGAATCAACTGATTTTTCTTGTGAAACTTCCTTGTCTTGTCAATAAAAAGAAAGGCTGATTTTGAATCAGGGCTGCCCCCCTGATGGGCGGCAGTCCCTCCAGGGGCTGCTGCTCCCCTAATGGGCGGCAGTCCCTCCAGGCCTCATTGGTGGTACTTTGAGTGAATTCTTTCTCTTTTTTCTGTCTCGGTTACACAGAGGAAAGTGTAACACACGTCCAGACTGGAGCCGTGGCCTCTGCCCCCAACTGCCTCCTCCAGTCCTCCCCTCGCCGTGGGAGGCAGCACCCGGGTGCTCCTGACAGAGCCTCAGGGCCACTCGAGTCCCCTCCATGCTGCAACGTGGTATCCCAACAGAGCAGGTCATGCAGATCGGAGCCCCAATCGCCTTCTCTACACCACCACCCCATCTCTCACATGGGTCAGGGTACAGCCCACAGTGCTCTCCCTGCCCCCACACTTGCTCAGAGAGGGAGCTTCTGAAGGCCATGCCACTCCTGCTTAAAACCCTCCTGAGGATGTCCCCCTGCACTCAGAACAAGGCTCTAGGAGCTGGCCTCAGGCTGCCTTTGTCTTCACCTCTTTTTATTCTTCCCCTCGTTCACTAACCCAGCCCAGGTTGCTAGTTTTGGGTCAACAGCCACATTCCTATTCTTCCCAGTAAGAAAGAAGATGCGGAATGAAGAAACACCTTGTAGCTGGATGTGGAGGGAACGAGCGTGTCCTAGGGAAGTACGGTGACCAATGGGGCATAAATGGAAGTGACATGGACAACCTGCAGTAAAGGGTCCTTGAAAGGCAAGGATCTGCTCTTCTTCACCTATTCTGTCTTCCTGCTTGTGGGGTGAGGGCTGGAGCTGGTGCAGCCACACAGGCCACAAGACAGAGAAGCTACTCATAACAAAGCACAATGGAGCAGCCTGGGTCCCTCAAACCAAGGAGTGCCATACTGTCTCTGGAATGTCCACCTCGATGTTCATGTGAGAGGAAAGAAACATCTATCTTGATTAAAACCTATGTTGCTTTGGGCTTGTAGCAGAATCTAATCCCAACTACTATACCTACATTCTTACCACTCTCACCTTCGTTCTGTTCCCAGAACCTGTTGAGCATCTTCCTGCCTGAGGACCTTTGCACTGGCCATCTCTGCTTGCCTCCTTCTCATGGTCAGACTGGATCTGACCATGAAAGGATCCAAGAAAGGATCAAGTTGATCCACAGTCTAATTGCCTGCCAAATCAAAACTCAATTCCTTAGGAAAGACAACAAAGTCCAAATATTCAAAAATATAAAACTGACAATATCCAGCACCCAATAAAAAGTTATTAAACATGTAAAGAGGCAGGAAAATGTGACCATAACCAGGAAAAAAATTAGTCAGACCCCAAAATGATAGGGAAACTGGAATTGAAAGAAACAGACTTTTTTTTTTTTTTTAAAAAGATGACCGGTAAGGGGATCTTAACCTTGACTTGGTGTTGTCAGCACCACGCTCACCCAGTGAGCAAACCGGCCATCCCTATATGGGATCCGAACCCGTGGCCTTGGTGTTATCAGCACCGCACTCTCCCGAGTGAGCCACAGGCCGGCCCAAAAGAAACAGACTTTAAATTATAAATATGTTCAAGGATTTAAAGAAAAACCTAAGTACCATGAGGAGAAAAACAGAAACTATAATATTAGAAATAGAAAATTAACTGGACAGAACAGACTTAACAGCAGATCAGATGCCACAGAAGAAAAGACGCGTGAACCTGAAGACATGGCAGCAGAAACCAGCCAAACCCAAGCACAAGAGCATAGGCTGAGAGACGACGGGCGGCCTCGACAACCCAAGCCAACGTCAAGGTGTCTGACACACGTGTGATGAGAGCCTCGGGAAACACAGCAAAAAGGAAAAACATCTCAGAAACTATGGCCAACTTTTTCCAGATCTGATGAAAAATATCCACCCACAGATCAAAGAAGCTCGCGAAACCCCACACAGGACAAACACAAAAGAAAGCCACACCAAAATATGTAATAGTCAAATGCTGAAAATCACTATAAAGAGAAAACCTTAAAAGCAGCCAGAGAGCCATGCCACGTCACACGAATGTGAGCTGGGAGTGGGCATAGGACGAGTGCGCACAGGACGTGTCCTGCAGCACAGCGCATGGGCAGACAGCAAGCACACCTCTGAGTGCTGTCGGGGGAGAGCAAGCAAGAGACCACCAGTGCCATGAGTTACTCTTTAAAATACCAAACATAATTTCCTCCATATTTTAAAAACACATTAAAATGTATCTACTACTTACCCATAGAGAACTTGGGAATTTTAAATTGGTTTGCAGGGGTAGGCATAACCTTCGTCTTGGAATTTAGACAGGAATCTTGCCTTCTTATGCTCCCAGTTTTATTCCATTGAGAAGATTCTGACAAAATGGCAGTACAGTCCAGCCTCGGGCCTCCACTTCCCGGAGTTTGGGGTTGCAGGCGAAGAGCTGTGGTGGGCGCCCTGGCTCGCTCCACTGTCCGCTCAGCGGCAGTGACCCACTTGGTTTGGCTGCAGGACCCACCTGCAGGGTCGGCAGTGGTGGGGCCCGTCCTGCCTGACTTGCTGATGTCTGACAGAGGCCGGCAACTGTTTGCAGGAATACCGGCAAATCCATTTGATTTAGCTGGAAGAGGAGACACACAAATTCTGGTTATCACTCAAGCTTATATTATTTTTAAATTATGAAGCTATTTAACAAACACACAAAAAATACGTTATCTTTAGCCTACTTTTTTCTTTTTTTTAGCCTGTCTACTTTAAACATATGACATATGTACAATACCCTGTATGTCCATCAGGCAATATCATCAAACACAGGACACCCCGCTGCTTGTGGCTCGGCTGAGTGTATTCTAAGGTGCTGATTCTCAGCACAGTTACCAAGATATTTATAAGCAAACACAAATGCAGGCTCTCCTATCTTCCTTGACTTTGTGGGCAGCAGAGATCACTCTAGCTGAGCAGCTGGAAGGGGACAGTCTAGTCACATGCCCCACCTGCCCAGTCAGGGAGAGAAGATGCAATTGTTACCAGTTGATTCCTTTAAATTACAAGAAGAAGATATACACTAATACATTTTTTCTGGTCATAAAAAGAAGAGAAGAGATTTCATATATTTTTACATTTCTGATGCTCCCTGATATTCAATAAAAAGAGTATGCTGTCTTTTTCAAAATAAATAAATAAACAAATAAATAAATTACAAGAAGGGCGTCTTGGTCATATTAATCATAAGCATTATCTAAACTAGGGTAATAAATACTTAGCTCCCAACATACCCGGTACGCAAGTCAATCTGGTAAAAGATTCTTAAAGAAAAGCATCAGGAGAATCGTGCCGTAGCTTCTATGTATACACTGTGAAACAGTTTACAAGGCTCCGTCCCACACATGCTCCTATCTGATCCCAGTGACTCTGCTGTGTGCAACAAAGACACATACATACACCAGGAGCCCCGTGCAATTTCTGTCTCAACAGAAACAGCAGTAAAAATGGTGCTGATGTCCTGAATCAATACAGCAAAACAAAGCTCATTACACCTAACGTAACAGTAAAGGGCGTGCATCTACTGCACATGTACTACATGTCATAGCCTTCTATGCCAGGCACTTTGCACAGTAGTCCCAGTGCTCACAGGAACACAAAAGTAGGTGTCATCACCTCAGTCTGTAAAGATAAGGACACAAACTTAGGTTCTCTTAACCATTGAGTGGCAGTCAGGACTCTAAACCAGATCAGTCTAATTTGAACATTCATACATTTCACATTTTGTGAACAAAATCCACACCATGCTGCGTTGACTAGTCAGTGTCTATGCAGCAAATATAATTTGAAGAGGATCTAGTTTTTAGGAGCAGAAAAACAAATGCCTTTCCCTATAGCCTACTAGAGTTTCTCCCCTTTACCACTAGATGGCAGCCTTGGCTTGGTAAGACAAAACGTGGCGGGAATTTAAACAGGTTTGGGAGTGGAGATTTAAACAAACATCCAGGGGCCGTGCCTGTGGCGCACTCGGGAGAATATGGTGCTGGGAGCGCAGCAGCACTCCCGCCGCGGGTTCGGATCCTATATAGGACTGGCCGGTGCGCTCACTGGCTAAGCGCGGTACGGCCGGTCTCAAAAAGGACAAAAAATAATAATAATAATAAATAAATAAATAAACATCCAGAAGTTAGTTACAGGGGTCATGTGCCCTAAATTATCTGGAATAGTCCTATTTTAAAACCTGTGTCTGATGACATTAACATGAGATTGGTCTAAGCATCTGTCTGCTCTCAGGCACTGGGGACACACGCACATACATGGACTGAAGCCACCCGTCTGAGTGTGCCTCTCCTCCCTAAGGAAAGCACCCTGAGGGCAGGGGCCATGACACAGTCTCTTCCCTGCCCAGCATCCAGCCCCATCCACAGCACACAGCAAGCCCCCTAAGATGTCCCACTGAGCCTAACTGGTTCGGTGAAGACGGCCCAGAGGAAGCCAGCATTTCAGGCCTCCATGGGCTACACATGGGTCTGAACACGAGATGCCTGCCACCTCACCTGTACTGACTGCTGGAGACGCACACTCCCTGGACGTCATGCTCGAAACCAACCCTGAGGAAGAGGACTTCCTTGCAAGATTGCCAGTGCAGCCAGGTGGCTTTAACAGGCTCTTCTTCAGCCCCAACTGAGACAAAATGTTAAAAAACAAAATCAGCAAAGATTTCATTATCTACCCATTACTTATTTCTGCAAAAGTGTGGTTTTTAAATAATTTTTAACAACTTAATAATAATCATCTTGAATTTAAAGAAGAAAGAAGTCAAGCAGTACTTCTCAAAGGGTAGACTTCAAACCCCTGCATGAGAATCCAGTGGGGGAGCTGGCTGAGGTGTAGATTTTGGGACTCCAAGCCAGACCCACTGAGTCAGCTGCTGTAGGCCCAGCTCCTGGCAATTTTAATAAGGACTGCCAGTGATTCATACACATAGCTCATTTTGACCACCAAAGCCAGAAAAGAAATGGCAAAGATGTGGATGGGAATATCCGTGCTTGGGAAAAGCTGTTTTCAAAACATCGACACCCCACATCATCCATGCAAAGATCCCACAAGGGAAGCAGGGAGCGTCCTCACCATTACAACAAGCTGATGCTCAGAGAGGCTGATTGACTTTTCTCAACTGACACAGCTCCCAAGTGGCAGAGGCCAGCCCCCAAAGCGCACTGCCAGGCCTGTATTCTTCACAGGCGTTTCGTCAAGCTGTCTCTCATGGTCTATATTTTCAACTCTCCTAACTTGACTTTAATCAAAAGAGACATCACTTGTATACAAAGCTGCCACCTTTTTCCCATCCATCACAGGTCATGGCCCCTGCAGACTTACCTTGTTTGGAACAGGGAGCGATCGCTTGCCTTGGACCAAGTGGCTTCCTCCAGCTGGGAAGCCGTCAGCATCCAGAGCAGTGCTGGCTTTGTCAGGGAGAACATCCCTGTGGGATCCCTTTTCATTTTGGATTTTCATCCTGGAAGGACTAGCTGGTATCTCTTTCTTGCGCTGAAAATTTTTAATATGGAATGTGACAACTGTCTAGTCTTTAACAATGTACAGGGATACTAAGGCTTCGGTTTAGAGCGACCCCAGGCCCCATCTGTCTTTCTGACTGCTGCACACATTCCTCAACTCGTCAACTAGACTGAAGAGAATACAGCAGTTCACTCCCTCCGCCAAATCACTATGGACAAAAGTGATGATGGACTTCACTTCCTCATTAAAGACAGTTTAGGGCCAGCCCGTGGCTCACTTGGGAGAGTGCAGTACTGATAACGCCAAGGCCACGGGTCCGGATCCTATATAGGGATGGCAGGTTAGCTCACTTGGGAGAGCCTGGTGCTGACAACACCAAGTCAGTGGTTAAGATCCCGTTACCGGTCATCTTTTTAAATATATATATATAAATAAAGACAGTGCAAAATAATACCAAGACAGATCATTAACAGGAGCGAGATCCTCTAAAGCTATCCCTCAGTCAGGATCCTTACTTGATGATAATGAGGAAAATGGTTCTAGTTACACAAATTTTAAAATGCTGTACAGAAAGGACTCATTCATTAAATGGTTATCCATCCACCAGAGAAACTGCTCAATTGCAATAAATCTTCTTGGTCTAGTACTGAAAACCATTTTATTTGCCTGGCAGAGTCAAATGAAGAGTAAGTTCCCGACATATGTAGAGACAAGGGCATTCATGGAACTGACCCATGCTGACATAAATGACCCCCTTATAAGACACAGAGTTAATAAGAGCCACGGAAGCCAATAGTCATAAAGACGCAGCAGCAACTTTTTTCCTTAACAGCATTTTAAAAATCAAGATACACTTCACACAACATAAAACTCACCACTTTAAAGTATACACTTCAGTGGTTTTTTGTATATTTGCTATGTGTGCAACCATCACCACAGCTAACTTTAGAACATTTTCATCCCCTTAACAGAAACCCCACACCCATTAGCAGTCCCTCCCCGTTCCCTCACCCTCCCCAGCCCCAGGCAACCGCACGACCACTCCTTGTCTCTGTAATTTGCCTTTCATCCCCTTAACAGAAACCCCACACCCGTTAGCAGTCCCTCCCTGTTCCCTCACCCTCCCCAGCCCCAGGCAACCGCACGACCACTCCTTGTCTCTGTAATTTGCCTGTTACGGTCATTTCATATAAACTGAATCACACATGACCTTTTGTGTTTGGCTCCTTTCACTGAACGTGTTTTCAAGGGTCACCCGTGTAGCAGGCATCAGTACTACATTTATTTTTACTGCCATATAGACTCCACTGTCTGGACATACCACATTTTATTTTGGGTTGGTTCTACTTTAAAAGGCTGCTTTGAACATTTGTGCATAGGTTTATCTGTGTACATATGTTTTCGATTCTCTCAGGTATACACCAAGGGTGGAGATGCTGGGTGCTATGGGAGCTGTACATTTAACCTCTGAGGGACAGCTGAGCTGCTCTCCACGGTGACCACACTGATTTACATTCCCAGCAGCAATGCAGAAGGTACCCAATTCTCCACATCCCCACCAACTCTTTTTTCGTTCTTTTACCGATGTCCTAGCAGTTATTTTTAAAGAACATTTTAAATAGGTGTTGCAATCAAGTGGTCCAGTCGTTTCTAACGATGATCCTCACACGGGTGAGCATGTGCCTGTGAGTCACTCTAGAAGTGAATGACTTTTCTTGGAAAAACATGCAGGAAGTGGTGAGGCTTCCCAAGGGAGCTTAAATGCAGTGCAGCTGTGCAGATGACGTTTCCCTGACCAAGAACCAGCTCTCTGAACCCAGATGTCACCCAGGACCAGGAAATCAAAGGATATACTGTGATCCAGAATAACTAGAATTATACCATAACTTCTCTGCCCTGAGTCCATGTGTGCTAATGCACAAATCCCTGCCATGAACCCATGTGCTTCACACACAAATCTTGGCCTTGAGTGTGGATGGATTTGTAGAAAGGAAAAAGGAATTTCTAGGCCCTTGCTGGGGATTCTGCTTTTATCTAAGCCTCCAAACAACCCCACCAAGAGTCATTCTTCTTTTACTGTTGCCCAGGGCAGGCAGCAGAACTGGGAAAGGGCAAAAGGGTACGCTGCAACCTGCCCCTCCCTGCCTCTCTGCCACCTCCCCTCTCCTGAGCAAGAGCCAGATCTGGCAAAGTTGAAAGTAAATCGTGGTCTGACATCCACCTTTCTCCTACCCTCTCCACCTTCCCCCAGCCTCCAGGACCTCGGTTTCCCAAAGCTGGCCAAATGCACCCCAAAGGCATATCTGCCAACTACCACTTCCCAGGACAGCACATCTCTACTTGATGCCCAGGAAGGAAGCAATGGAAACTAAGTCACAGTCAAGGAGGATGACTAGTGGCTATCCCAGAGGAAGGGGACTTTTTGGAAGAGGTTGCTTGTTAAAGTGAATAAAATCCCTACGGGTGGGCTATCTGGTGTTATAACAAAACAAAAGGAACAATTTCAAACCAAATTGAGGACGAGGTAGTTTTAAGCCATTACAGCCCTGCCCAGGCCCACCCCCAAATCAGCTCCCCATCTGTGACTGCTTTTCACTGAGTTTTCATTCCTGTGCTTCCCCAAAGGGTTTCCAGGATAGGGCATAAACCCAGATGGCTAAGAGGCAAGGACTGTCTAGGCGCCCAGATAAATGTTCTGGTATATGTGCCTACCTTCTCCATGCCCGAGTGAATGTTTTTTGCTCTAACAGACGAAGTTCGGGGCAGCTGCAATTTGCTGGTGACCTTCTTCTGAGTCACTGCCTGATCTGGAGGTTGAGCAGTACTCACTACCCCAGGCAAAGAATGAGAAGAATGCAGTGGCCCCTGTGTCTGGGCACAGCTGGCCTGGGCAGGAGCACCTGGAAGGGCCAAGGAGGAGTCGGGAAGCAGGGCCTCACTGGGAGGGGGACAGACTCCCAAGAGCGATGGCCCCATCAAGGGGCTGTCTGACAGGTAGTATGTCTCCCTTTTAAGTGACGTGGGGCTTTTCTTTGTTTCCTTTTCTTTTTCAAAGAGGTTTATTTTTAATTTTGATTCCTGGATGAATCTTTCCACATCCTGGCTCCAGGGGTCTTCGGGCTCAACAGCATGGGCCGCTTGCTTTCTGCTGCTGCTTTCTATCTGTAAAGCCAATAAGTGAGCTTCTTTATACACTTCCACAAACTTTTCGCCAGTGAGAGGGCTCCAAGTAAAGTGACCTTCAGATGCTGGCAGAAGAGGCTGTTCAGGAATCTGATTATTTAATTCTAAGCTGGCAGCGATACATCTTTCTTTATGTCCAACAGGTCCAAAAAAGACTTCATCATCTTCATTTGCACTATTTTTAAAGAATTATTAATAATTAATAACACTGGCATTTAAATGAAGTGTAGTTATGCCTAAGGCAAGGGAAGAAAACTCATTTGTTTACCTTGAAGATGACAATGAAAGATCGAAGTCAAATTTTTCATCGACCAAAAGAACAATGTCTGGGGAGAGAAAAGTCTACTGTTATTTTAGGGCTGGAGCTGATAAAAAGAAAAATATTACCAGTCTCAACAGCTATCAAAGCTATTATGAAATTTCACCCCCTGAAGTGTAACCCATCACTATTTAATTTAGTTATATATTCATAGGGTGTTCTAGATTATCTTCATTTTTACATTTACTTTGGAAAATTGCATCAGCCATTGTGTGTTTGCTAAACCCCACCCCAAAAGAATGTCCTTATTTTTTTTTTTTCTTTTTTTCTTTTTGTCTTTTGTCTTTTTCCGTGTCCAGCAACGGATCGCAACCCTCAGTGTTGCCCCCGTACCGGACCGGGGACCGGCAACGGGATTGTAACCCTCGGCGCTGCACCCGCACCTCGCTCAGCCAGTGAGCGGGAACCGGTCTGTATGTGGGATCCGAACCCTCGGGCGGGAGCGCTGCCGCGCTTCCCAAGCGGCGCACTGTAGCAGTGCGCCACCGGGCCGGCCCCAGAATGTCCTTATTTTTAAGATATAATCTAAAATGCATTCACTGAATCATTCAACTAGCTTTTCAAGAAGAGATAAGTCATTTTCAGGTATAGAACATTTTCAAAAGACCACCTGCCTCAACTCCCTTACAATTAACTTCCCTTCGAAATGCAAAATAAAACTGCACTGAGATATCATCTCACCCGTTAGACTAGCTATTATCAAAAAGACAGAGAATAACAAATGCTGGCGAGGCTGCAGAAAAAGGTGAACTCTTCTACACTGTTGGTAGGACTGTAAATTAATACTGGAAAACAATATGGAAGTTTCTCAAACGACTACAGATAGAACTACCATATGATCCAGCAATCCCACTTCTGGATATATACCCAAAGGAATGGAAATCGTCATGTTGAAGGGATACTGCACTCCCATGTTCATTGCAGCTCTATTTACAATAGCCAAGATATGGAACCAACGTAAATGCCCACTGGCAAATGACTGGACAAGGAAAATGTGGTATATATACATAATGGAATATACTACTCAGCTATAAAAAGAAGAATGAAATTCTGTCATTCACAGCAACATGGATGAGCTTGGAGAAAATTATGTCAAGTGAAATAAGCCAGGTACAGAAAGACAAATACCTCATGTCCTCACTCATAAGTGGGAGGAAAGAAAGAAAAACAAGGAAGGAAGGAAGGAAATACCGACCACAATAATACATTGAGCTTTCAGATGGAAAGAACAGATTTAAGGTTACTAGAAGTGGGAAAAGGGGAGGGAAAGGGGGATTAGGGAGAAACTGGGTAATGGACACAAAGAATAATTTTGGTCTGTAATGATGAACATGCTAATAACACTGATTTGCTCATCACATATTGTACACAAATACTGATAGTCAACTCTGTACCCCACAAATATGTATAATCAATTATGTTTCAATTAAAAAATAAATTTAAAAAAATAATTAACTTCCTGTCTTTCAAGCTACAAAACACCTAATAATCTTTCAACAATGAATTCTGATATTATTCACATGCACAGCAGGGACACACTAAGTACTTGTTGACAGTCATTGCTTCTTGGAGTCTTTCCTGAATCCCCAGATAAAACTGCACTCTGCATCCCACCCCATCCTTATTTCTGTCACAGCTTTCACCAGCCCTATTTGCCCAATTCCCTCTAACAGACCACAGGCTCAAGGTCCGTGGTTCCCTCTTCTGGGGACAACTGCTTCCTCCTCCAGTCCCTCCCTAGGTTCCTGTGGCACCTGAACCTGACCTCCACAAATGCTCTGTAAATGCCTCTCGACCCTCCTATGGCCCCAACTAGATTGTAAGCCCCTCCAAGATGGCAAATGTCTAACACTCCTGGCACATTCCCCAATGTCCGGCTAAGAGCCTGGGAATTTAGCAAATATTTACTGAAATGCACTGAACTGATTTTTCAATCTTGTAAAGTTTATACAGCACTTTCAAAAATTATATATTATTTGATCTTGACAAACAATGCAGCATGTTTACTTACCAAAATCATAAAATTTGAAAACATACCAATATCCTAATTAGGTTCTAATTAATCAATTAAATGGTCCTAATTACCTAATTAGGAAAAGGGAGAAAGCACAAATGCGCAAAAGAAATAAAAGAGAAATAACCATAGAGAGTGGGAATTAAAAGATTCAGAAGCTACTTTGCTTAACTCCATGCACATAAATCTAAGAACTTAGCTGAAATGGATAATTTTCTAGGAAAATACCATTTATTTTTTGTATTTAAATTATCCAAATTTACTTATCTATAAAGCTGACTCCAGAAAAGAGAAAAATCTTAGTAATAGTTCAATTACCATAAAATAATCGGAGAAATTTATTAAAGCGCTATCCCCTTCAAAAAAGCAAAAGTCCCAGCTAGTTTCATAGGATAATTCTATAAAATCTTTAAAGGACATATCATTCTGCTCCAGAGAATAGAAAAAAATAAACTTTCCAACTTACTTCTACGAAGCAAGCATAATGATACCAAAAGCCTATAAAACTTGCTCAATAAAGACAGCTACAGACCAGTCTCACATATATCAACATAAAAGTCCTAGACGAGAATATCAGCAAAAAGAATCCAGCAACACATTAAAATAATAATAGTATATGATAAACAAGCTCGCTTCACTTCAGGACTGTAAGACAGTATAATTTTACCATCTTACATAATGATTTATATAATCATTATATTACTAGACCTAAAGAAAAAAACATATGATTGTCTCCGTATACAAAAGTACTTCAAAAAGTTCACAGAGAGATTCATATTATCTTTCAATCCTATTTGTCCACTAACTTTTTTTTCTTTTCTTTTCTTTTTTTTTTTTGTCCTTTGTGAGACCGGCCGCACCGCGCTCAGCCAGTGAGCGCGTCATCCCCACATAGGATCTGAACCCGCGGCGGGAGGGCCGCTGCGCTCCCAGCACCGCACTCTCCCAAGTGCGCCACGGGCTCGGCCCTGTCCACTAACTTTTTGAAGTACCTTAGTATGTTGAAGAGACATGTGATAAAACGTTACATTCTGGATTTTAAAGGCTCTTAATAACAAGCAGTAGATATATCTTACCATATAAGGAAATATCCATCTCAACCCAAAAGACAAAATTAGGTTCAATGAGATAACATCAGACGTGTTCTTTCTAAAGACAGGAGCAGATATACCTTGTCAGTTAGGATAGGCTAACTTATGCCGGAGTAAGAGAAACAAACAATCCCCAATGTTCAAGTGGCTTACGACAACAAAGCACACTTCTCACTCAACCCCTGTGTCTGCTGAGGGTAGGCCGGGGCCCTGCTCCATGGCATCCATCCTCACTCCAGGACCCAGGCTGGTGGAGCCTCTACCATCAGGAACACAGCTGGTCTCCAGGGCAGGAGGCAGGGGAAAGAGTACATTCCACACTGGCTCTTAAAGCCTTCTACCTGAAGGGATACATATCACAGCATTCCCATTTCACCAGCCCAGCAAGTCACCTGAGCCAAACCAAACTTCAAGTCTGTCACATACCTGGTAGAAAACAACCTAGAAATACAAATGAACAGCACCAATGATGACCACCTGCATGTAAAGTAACCCACAAGCCAGCATCAGGCTTGATGGAAAACTACAGAAGAGATTCCACTAAGGCCAGGGACATGGCAATGACACCTCCAGGCACCACGATTCTTATCATTGTTTTGGACACATTAACCACCACAATTAGACAAAAGAAAGAATGTGGAGGTAAAATTATCATGGAGTACAGATGCTATGGTGATAGACACAAGAAAAATATCAAGAAAATCAACTGAAAACTACATCAATAGTAAAGGATGCAAGAATATGGCTGAGAACAAAATCATTACAGAGCAATCAACAGCTTTCACATAAACCAAGAACAGTTAGAAGATATGACGGAAGAAAAGACCTCATTTACAATAGCAACAAAAATTACAAAATACCCGTGAACAAACCTAACAGGAAATGTGCAAGATAAATATAAAGAAAGCATAGATCATAAAAGTAACAGATCAAATATAAATGGAAAGTGGGTTATTCGATAAATGGTAACGAGATAAACCACACAACCCTTTGGGAAAAAAAAAACCAAGAAACAATTAAGTTTGATCCACACCTCGTGCCACACCAGGAGAAATTCCAAATAAATCAAAGACTTAATTGAAAAAAAAATGAAACCCTAAAGGAACAAGAAGCCACAGGGAAATTGTACCCAGGAGTGCGGGGGTCTAACTATGACATCAAATTCGAAGCCCTAAAATAAGACATCAGTTGTCAAATACATAAAAATGAGTAAAATCTCTGTGTGGCAGAAATCACAGTAAGCAAAGTTAAGAGAAACGAGAAGCGGTGAAAAGAATATTTGCAACTTTTTTTTTTTTAATTTAAAAAGATGACCAGTAAAGGGATCTTAACCCTTGACCTGGTGTTGTCAGCACCACACTCTCCCAGGTGAGCAAACTGCTCTCCCAAGTGAACTAACCAGCCATCCCTAAACAGGGATCCGAACCCGTGGCCTTGGTGTTATCAGCACCACACTCTCCCGAGTGAGCCACAGGTCAGCCCTAATATTTGCAACTCATCACTAGGGGCTAAGTCACGAGGAGTGCCCACAAATGGCTAAGGAAACAAGTAACCACCTAATGGAAAACAGATAAAGGATATGAGCAGATGGAATCCACAGAAAACAAAACAAAATGTTCTTAAATATATAACAAAAAGTACGGCCTCATTCAAAAATAAGAGTAATGAAAAATAAACTCACCCTAGGGCCGGCCTGTGGCTCACTCGGGAGAGTGCGGTGCTGATAACACCAAGGCCATGGGTTCGGATCCTATATACAGATGGCTGGTTCGCTCACTGAGCGTGGTGCTGACAACACCAAGCCAAGGGTTAAGATCCCCTTACCAGCCATCTTTTTAAAAAAAAAAAAAAAAAAGAAAAGAAAAAGAAACTTACCCAGAGATTCTACTTTTCACCTATCAG